GTGTACATGTTCGATGCTCTGTATGAAATAGTCCGCGTTGTAGTCGGCTGATATTCATATGTTTGTTGTTTGAACATTGAGGCACATGGGCAGCAATGGTGATGTTGTTCCCACAACCGATGATGGCGTGTGCTGAACTCCGGATCTGCTCACCAGGTGAGAACGAGCTCAACAACGAGTGTAAAGACCTGTTCGTGACGCGACTGAAGGCGGTTGTCAGCTCGCAGAAGCCTTTCGACCTGGTGGACGATCGCGGCTCGATGGCCATGCGCCATCTCTCGGTGGACATCAAGAACTACAAGTGAGGAGCGCTTCGTCATTACTTGGCCGCCCTTGTGAGAACGGATGGTAATCATCTGCTCCAGTGTCGCTAGTTGATAACAATTGTCCAGTCACACAAGTAGTGTTGACGATCGCTGATCTGTTGCTGACGCCGCCTGATCCCCGTCCCGTCAGACCAGCGGTTGGCTGCGCCGAGTCAGAGCTGTGGTGCTGATCGCTGACCTGGTGCTGACGCCGCCTGATCCTTGTCCCGTCAGACCAGCGGTTGGCTGCGCCGAGTCAGAGCTGTGGTGCTGATCGCTGACCTGGCGCTGACGCCACCTGATCCCCGTCCCGTCGGACCAGCGGTTGGCTGCGCCGAGTCAGAGCTGTGGTGATGCTGATCGCTGACCTTGCTGACGCCGCCTGATCCCTGTCCCGTCAGACCAGCGGTTGGCTGTGCCGAGCCAGAGCTGTGGTGCTGATCGCTGACCTGGTGCTGACGCCGCCTGATCTCCGTCCCGTCGGACCAGCGGTTGGCTGCGCCAAGTCAGAGCTGTGGTGATGCTGATCGCTGACCTTGCTGACGTCGTCTGATCCCCGTCCCGTCAGACCAGCAGTTGGCTGTGCCGAGTCAGAGCTGTCCGTCTCCGAGGTGCGGAAGATGGTCCAGGAGTGGCTGCAGCAGCTGGCAAAACAGCTGCAGCCTCGTGTCGCTGAACTGCTCGGTAAGCTTCGAGTGTTGGCCGGCATTGCTGTCAGCACAGGGCATCAGCTCCAGGCGTTCTTTGCCGCTGTGGACGAAAAGCCCTTGGGACGGATGACGTTCGTTGTTCTGGTCGTGGTCGGGTGTCGGTGAAGCTGTCCATGTTGTTGCCTGTGGGGCCATTCCGTTCCTCGCTCGGTGGCTCCCTGTTGTAAGTGTGTGAAAGGGATACACATGGAAAAGCTTGGATGGGGAACCAGACTGTCTGAGCAGTTGTATTGGCTGTACAGAAGTAGCATTTGTATATTTGGCGTCAGATACAGCCGCCCAGCTCGGTGACCTGACCGTTGCGAATGGCCGACCCCGCAGAGAGCGTGCCAACGGTAAAGGGGCTGGCCTCGGTGAGGGACGGCGTCTGCGCCGTGCTGACGGAGGACTGCCATCGCCAGCACTGGCCCGCCATCTGTGAACAGCTGGCCGGAGCTAACGTCTGGTAAATACCTGCTGCCGCTGCCGGCTAATATAATGTGTAGTATTATGTATTGAGGCATGCAATTAGTTTTACTGGTCTTCTGTCCCATTTTATAACTTTTGTGAACATGAACAGCTGGCTTGGACTTGTATCATGTAAAGACTTGCTGCCATCACACTTGTGTGATGTTTAGCCCCATGCATGATTAATAATGCGAAAAGTCGCTAGGCCTGAGCCTCCCGCGTCTGACCTCCCGATAAGCAACCTCAGCCTCCCGATACTTGCTTAGCTGCGTCCGCATGACCGGCCGCCCTGACGCTGGCGGGCCATTTGGCAGCATCTGGCAGCTGTGTCTGCGGGAGGCGATCGTGGCGCGGGCCGAGCAGCACATCCGCGACGGGCTGACGGCGGCCTTCGAGGAGCTCACCGGCTCGCTGGGGCAGGCTCTGCAGGACCGCGAGCGGTGGGTGGCGCGGTCTAGAGGGGGCCCGGCACCGCCAACGGCTGGGTCTCCCGCCGTGATCCGTCAGCTGCAGGTTAAGATGGGCCACGGTGCGATTAATGGTGGGCAATGCACGCTAAGTTTGCGGGAAGGTACGCGGTAGGTGCAGTGGCATGCCAATGGGATGTCGCCGAGCAACAATTTGCTCAAGGAATTCCGTCGCCGCCTTCACTTGTACTGAAATCAAATAGCCTGCACGCGATTCATGGTTGTTGGGTATCTCGACAACAAACCTACGGCTTCGTCACAAAACCATCAGTTGAAGAGGTAAAGCACTAGCGCCAAAAAAAAAATGAACCAGTCATCAGTTAACATGAAAAGCCGCCCTCACACGACCCGTCGGCGAACACGGATCGCTGACAATAGGCAGAGCATTCCACTCTGATAACTCCGTAGTGAACATGTCGGGAGAACACCTGCAGCAAAGCAGCTGAAGGTGCTTCCCTATGGCGACTGTGTTTTACACCACGAGATGCCACCGCGTGTGCCGTCTGTGCTGGAGACAGTTTGTGGTTTATGGGGAATGCGGGCGTATTCACGACCTTCTTCCCCATTCTGTGCAAATGTGATGGTGTTGACATTTTTGGAAGTGAAAATGCCTGTCTTGGTTATATTGCAAGGCTGGAATACGAGCTTAAAATTGAAGTTTCCAATTCCCACCACGGGGATTTTGAAACGTTTTGGAAAATGGAAGAAATGTTTTGTTTGCCACTCCCAGACTGAACTCGGCTTCGGACGTAGTGGACTTCCGTTGGAGCGATGTCACTGAGGTGCCTTCCACCAGTGGCTGGATGAACTACCGACACAGAAACCAACAGTCTCTGCCTGGTAAGGTTCGGCTGCTGAGTGCACAGCGCAGGGGCGAAGGAACTCTTGTGGTTTCGGCCCTGCCAATGTGTTTTGTCTATTGTATTTCTTGTGGCAACGTGTCTGTGTGCCTATTTGCGGGCCTGGCGTCGCGATCCCGTGGCTTTGCTACAGGAGCGGTGTACCTAGCATGTTTGTGACTGACAGTGGGACGTGCTTGGGTCTTTGCCACGATGTGACGGGCTCGCCGCTGCATTACAGCAGCGGTACCCGGTGTGTGGCAGGTCTGGTGATGCGGTCACGCGGTTCCGGTGTGTGGCAGGTCTGGTGCCGCGGTCCCGCGGTCACGCGGTCCCGGTGTGTGGCAGGTCTGGTGCCGCGGTCCCGCGGTCACGCGGTCCCAGTGTGTGGCAGGTCTGGTGCCGCGGTCCCGCGGTCACGCGGTCCCGGTGTGTGGCAGGTCTGGTGCCGCGGTCACGCGGTCACGCGGCCCCGGTGTGTGGCAGATCTGGTGCCGCGGTCCCGCGGTCACGCGGCCTCGGTGTGTGGCAGGTCTGGTGCCGCGGTCCCGCGGTCACGCGGTCCCGGTGTGTGGCAGGTCTGGTGCTGCGGTCCCGCGGTCACGCGACCCCGATGTGTGGCAGGTCTGGTGCCGCGGTCCCGCGGTCACGCGGCCCCGGTGTGTGGCAGGTGTGGTGCCGCGGTCCCGCGGTCACGCGGCCCCGGTGTGTGGCAGGTCTGGTGCCGCGGTCCCGCGGTCACGCGGCCCCGGTGTGTGGCAGGTCTGGTGCTGCGGTCCCGCGGTCACGCGGTCCCGGTGCAGCAGCTGTGCGGCGCGCTGGACGGCAGGCTGTCGCGCCTGCTGGCCGACGTGTGTTTGTACACGGAGCGGCCCGAGCAAGGACGGCCGCTGGCCGGCCTGGCCGAGCCGCAGCAGGCACGGCCGCCCTTCGACCAGTGGGCCGACAGCGGCCGGCTGGCCGACACGCTGCGACAGGAGACACGCCGGCGGCTGGACAGGTCAGATACGCACACACCAGCCACTTTAAACCATTATGAACACTTGCGCGGTTTCAGATGAGGCGCATGACATGTTGAGAAATTTGAGAGTGCGGAAGGTAGAAAGATAGTTTTCAGAAGTTTTGAAGAGATTGTTTTCACTTTTACACTCTACTGCTTTGCTACATGCCCCTTAATCCACGACCCAAGTAAAAATCAACCACTGGCCGTGAATGAACGGCTCAGGGCCGGCCAATGATGCCCCCCCCCCCCCCCCATTAGGGGACAGGTCAGAGCCAGACCAGCTGATGGGAGCCAACCTCGGGTCACATGTACTAGTAAGGCGCCAGGTCATTGGCAGTCTTACAAGTGGATAGGTGAAGATTATGCCTTCTAACAGTCGAACGGATGGAACAATGACCGTCCCAATCGTCAAACGCATGTCGTTGCCTTGTGCGAGGTAAACCAATCATTTGCCACGCGCCCTAATAGCAGCATAAATTGGCTGAGTATGGCTTTAGTTAGTCGCGGTCCCCCGTTGAATCCCAGAGGTCTCTCCGCACAGTGCCGTGGCGGTGAGGAAGAGCGTACCTCTCGCCATCGTAGCTGGAGCGGCGTGGCCGTGCCTCTCCACAGCCTGCTGCAGGAGCTGGAGCGGCTGGCGGCGTCCGCCTCGGCGGAGGAGGCGGCCGTGCTGCTGGCCCGGATCCCGCGGGGCCTGATCGACCTCTGTCCGCACGTGCCACTGTGTCTTGACGCCAGCGCGCGCAGCAAGCAGGTCAGTGAACCGACACCGGGCGAAAACAGTGAAAATCATTGGGTTAATGTACTGATCTAGTCTCTTTCTGTGATGTGCCGAAACGTCATTCATGGCATCTGCCCACATGAGGCCGCTGAGCGATCGTGGGTCTAGGTCAATGCAACCGGCGTCGTTCTGGGCGTTACCCTTTTTTAATTGGAAGGCGCTCTGACGCACGATGCCGCGCACCTTTTTGTTGAGCGCCAGCGACTGCAGTGATAGTATTATGGCCTAGGGGCCAGGACGCGGCGGAACATGCAACGGTCGCCCACGTGTAACGCCGCCACGTGACCTGGCGCCCGCCGCCGTCCCGGCGTCCAGTGGCTGCCGATGATCCTGACCCGGTGACGCTAACGCCTCGGCGGTGTCCGCCGGCGGCCGGCAGGGGGCGTCCGCAGGCCGGCCGCTCTGGGAGGAGCTGGTGACGCAGCTGCTGCACGCGCGCTGCCGGCTGATGGCGGGCTGGTGCCAGGGCCGCGCCGACCGGCTGGAGGAGGAGCTCACCACAGCGCTGCGGGCGGCCACGGACGTCGACCTGAAGGATCTCGCCGTGAGAGAAGGGTCGAATGGGCTCAGACTCGGCAGGCCAGAGGCAGGCTTGTGATGGCTTTGGGTGGTGCGATGGCTCGGTGACATCTGGTTTTAACGGTCATACGAAGAGGAGTCCGCACACAGTTGTCCTGTTACGACTGCGGTGTGTTTCACTGCCTGCGTGCTCTCGAGTCTGCGTTGGGTCGCTGACCTCGCACGCGTTGCGGTCCACCTGCTGACGTGCCACGTCCGTGTGGGCAGCTGTGGGCAGCGGTGACCATCAGCGAGGAGGCCGACTCGGGGCAGACGGTGGAGTCGGTGGTGCGTGTGCCCCGCTGTCCACGTCTCTCGCTCACCGCCGCCCTCTGTCGGCTGTCCACCGACATCAACCGGCTGGGCTCCATGACATTGGGCAGGTGAGGCCCAGCACACGTGGGCAGCCCGGCCAACACAGTGGGTCAGCCAGGCTTACCACCTTTGCGTGCATGTCACTGCTTGAAGAGAGGAGAGTGAACGTGTGGATTATGCAGCTGAATCTATTGCAGGCGATATGGGCTTCCGCGTTTGCCAAGCCTATACGCCTGCGCAGCGTGCGAATTCTGCGTGAACCGAATCTCCGGCACAGCTCTCAAGCGTTTATAACGCAGAAAAGGCCGCAGTGTACAGCAAGTTGCTACTTGCCAGCTAGTGCGCCCTGAGCCGTGACTGTGTTGTTAACCGTGCTGCGAGTCGGTCTGCGACTGACCGGCCCGCTGCTACCGTTTGCCTCGCCACAGGGAGGTGCAGAACCAGCTGGTGCAGACGTGCGTGCGCCGGCTGGTGGACGTGTTCGCGCGCCACCTGGCGTCGCTGGGACAGGAAGGCCTTTCGCAGAACCAGGCGCTGCAGGCGCTGGTCGACGTGCACTTCCTGAAGAGCCTGGCCTCGGCCAGAGACCAGGTGAGCCGAGGGTCTGGGCCGGGGCGCACGCTCGGCTCAGGCCACAGTTTATGGGGCTGCAGGGCACGACGGCAGATCATAAACGCTGCATGGGTGGTATCCATCTCCAGCTGTTGAACTTGTTAGCAGGGTATGTACATAGGATGTGTTAGACAGCTGTCCCCTGCAGAATATATTCGATTGACCTCCTGTGATGTGCACTGCCATTTGTTGTGCTTAGCCTTCAATCGGCAGTGTCGAAGTCGCCTGGCCGCCTCTAAGTACACGGTGGCCACCACTCGCAGGAGCTGACTAAGAAGATTAGCAGCACGTGCGAGTCCATTGAGGAGCACATCGACCCGTTCGACCTGAACGTCTGCTGGCCACACGCGCTGAAGAACCTTCGACAGTTCACGCAGCAGTCGCAGGTGCCGGCGACGCCACGGTCCCGGGTGGATTGTTTGCAATGATTGGAAATCGGTTGGGTAATTCGTCGTTTTCAGTTTTGGCATATTCCAAGGAGGAAACAATCTTACCCACTTCCGTGTGATCTGGTCTGTTTGTCAGGATGTCCGACCCTACGTCGCGAGCGTGTGCCGCTCCGTCCGTTCCGAGGCCGCCGTGTCCCCTGGTCCCTGTTCTGACAGGTGTCCCCAGACCCTCCTCTGACGCCCCCGTATATCGCGGTCCCTGTTCTGACAGGTGTCCCCAGACCCTCCTCTGACGCCCCCGTATCTCACGGCCCCTGTTCTGACAGGTGCCCCCAGACCCTCCTCTGACGCCCCCGTATCTCGCGGTCCCTGCTCTGACAGATGTCCCCAGTTCCTCCTCTGACACTTCCGTATCCCACGGTCCCTGTTCTGACAGGTGTCCCCAGACCCTCCTCTGACGCCCCCGTACCTCGCGGTCCCTGTTCCGACAGGTGTCCCCAGACCCTCCTCTGACGCCCCCGTATCTCGCGGTCCCTGTTCCGACAGGTGTCCCCAGACCCTCCTCTGACGCCCCCGTATCTCATGGTCCCTGTTCCGACAGCTGTCCCCAGACCCTCCTCTGACGCTCCCGTATCTTGCGGTCCCTGTTCTGACAGGTGTCCCCAGACCCTCCTCTGACGCCCCCGTATCTCGTGGTCCCTGTTCTGACAGGTGTCCCCAGACCCTCCTCTGACGCCCCCGCATCTCGTGGTCCCTGTTCTGACAGGTGTCCCTAGTTACTCTTCTGACGCCCCCGTATCTCGCGGTCCCTGATCTGACGGGTGTCCCCAGGCCCTCCTCTGATGCCGCCCATGTCCCACAGTCGCTGCTGGGTGCGCTGACTGTGGACCGCGGCCCAGTGCGCCCGCTGGCCGGCGGCGGCGCTGGCAGCAGCAGCGGTCAGCAGGAGCAGCACAGCCTGCTGCTGCTGGCCGCCCGACCCGTCCGCTTCAGTTTGCTGGCCGTGCCCGACTCGTCGCCGCTCGAGAGGTCGCGGCCCCTGCCCGCCGCCCGACACGACAAGGTAAGGGACAGCCGCGGCTGGCAGGTGGCAGCGGCCCCTGCGGCAGGCGCGGTGACCGGAAACCTCCCCTTGAGTTTAGGTTTACAGGCTCAGCAATGCCGCTAAGGTGCATTGGTGAAAGATCCTGAGCTCGTAACACAGCAACACTGCATACGAGTCAAACGATGGGTGTATTGTTTTGTATCGCTGTTGAAATTAGGTTATGCGGCAATTGGCCAACAAGTCAACCTGTCCCGGCGCGACCGTGTCGTACCACTGTACGGAACTTAGCTTCCCACAGTCCTGGCAAAAAGACCAGAGGCAAAATCGTTAGACGGCTTGATTGGCGCAACTTTGACGACAGCTTCATGGTGTACACAAGTGCATCATGAAGTTGAGTCGTGTACACAACAAGTAATGTTTACTCTAGTTACCCATGCGCAGCAAGCTCTGATAGACTGTACCACGGCTACTCTTCATCCAGCCAAACATGAAACCATTAAAGTCGAACGCATAAGTTTTTCCGGAATCCTACTGGGGCCGCCGTCGGCCTCTGCGCTGGGCAACGCGGCCGCTGTACGTATTGATCTGCCATTTGTCTACGACGTCATGACATTGTGCAGGTGGCAAGGACGGCCACATTTGACCTTGTGCTCCACCGACGCTGGTGCGCCGGACGCCGAACCAGCCCGGGAGTGAACCCGTGTGACATGTTCCAGACGGCCGTGCAGGAGTCGCGGAAGAAGACGGAGACCATGAAGCCGAGCTCGTCGTTCTTGGCCGGGCTCAGCGGCAGCTGGTTTTAACACGGCGGCCCCGCCGACCTGCTGAGGTGACGGCGCGTCCCGGCCGGGCGGAGGGCCGGCTCCACATGCCACCGCTGCCGAGGTCACGGCGCGCCCCGGCCGGGCGGAGGGCCGGCTCCACATGCCACCGCTGCTGAGGTGACGGCGCGCCCCGGCCGGGCGGAGGGCCGGCTCCACATGCCACCGTTGCCGGGGTGACGACAGTCACCGCTGCCGGGGCGAGCGGCCAGCATTGTTCTGTTACGTTGTGCGTGCATTCAATTTTGCAGCTGCGGCATTGCTGTGTATCAGTGAATTATCAATACAGGTGTGGGTTACGCAAATCCCGGCAGGTCTCGGCTTTGTGAACCCCGTCGAACACCAAACGCCGCAGAGCACGCGTGCGCGTGCTGTACTGTTTCTGACAGCTTGACCTCCTTCATAAGACCTACTGCTGTGAACGGCCCGGCTTGACCTCCTTCATAAGACCTACTGCTGTGAACGGCGCGAGGGAATCACGAGTATTCATCAGCATGTATTGTGAGCGAGTGAAACAAATGAAAGTGTGGCAAGACTCCTCACAGCTCGTATGCTTGGCGGGGAGCGCTCGCGTGAACACACGGCTGCCCGTGACAAGAAAGCCCATGCATCTGCAGCGATCTAACCGCAGCAGTTCACAAAGCAACGCACGACTGCTTCGTCAAACAAAATATCGGCATGTTCTAGCAGTACTCGCTCTTCATTTTCCATTCAAGGCTACCTCGATCTTTCCCAACTGACATGACCGACAGCGAATCCGACCGTGACGTCACTGCGCCTTCTCCGTGACGTCATTGCAGCTTGACCTGTGACGTCACTGCATCTCGGCCTGCACCAGCACCACTTCGGCGCGGGCGCGGTCGCCGTCGCGCCAGCAGCTGTCGCGGCACGTGTAGACGAGCACGGTGCCGAACTCGAGCGGGCCGGCATGCTCGCCGCCGGCCGCGTCCGCAACGCGCAGCCGCGCCACCAGCGTCGGCAGCAGCTGCAGCTCGAACACGGCCGGCGCGCCGCAGTGGCGGCAGGCGGGCGGCGCCGGCGGCAGCGGCGCCAGCGGCAGCGGCGCGCCGCCATCCCGGCAGTAGCGCAGCACCTGGCCCGGACACAGTTCCAGACGCTGGATCAGCTTGTAGAGCAGCCGGTCGCCGTGCGCCGGCGCGGCGCGCTCGTAGCCCTCGGCGGCGGCGGCGGTCGGGCCGTCCCCGCCACCGCCGGGCGCGGACAGCTGTGCCAGGTTAACGCCCTCGCGCGCCTGGTACGCGCGCAGCAGGTCGAGCTCGTGGTGGGAGGGCGCGCCGCGCGGCGCCGGCTCCTCCACCACGCCCAGGTAGGCCGGCCGGAAAGTGACGGGCCCGTGCAATGGCGGCGGCCGCGCGGCCAACAGCGCACGCACGTCACACGTAGGAGGCTGCGCCGGCTCTGGGCTCACGCCCTCTTCAGCTGCAGGCTCCAGCTCAGCGGTGGCCGGCGCCGCCTCGCTGGCCGCCGCCAGGTTGGCGTTGTCGGCGTCCAGCGCCAGCTCCTGCACTCGCGTCAGCAGCGAGGCGCTGACGTTGCTGTTTCCGCCGCCGCCGCCGCCGCCGCCGCCGCCGCCGCCGCCGCCGCCGCCGCCGCCGCCGCCGCCGCCGCCGCCCGCCGCCGCTGCTGCTACCGCCGCTGCTGCCGCCACTGTCGTCGCTGCCCCAGTCGTCGGCCTCATCCAGCCAGTCGGTGGCGGCGGCGGCCGGTGCACGCTCGGCCGGCACAGGCGCCGGCTCGGCGCCGCCGGTCGCCCGCTGCTGCGCGCGCACGCAGCACCACGCGGCACTTTCGTTGGCGCACTCGGGCGTCGCGCAGCCGAACACGTAGAGCGTGCGGTGGTAGGCGGAGGCGCCGATCGGCGCGTACACCTGCACGACGAGCGGCTGCGGCCGGCCGCCGCGGGCGCAGAGCGGAGGCGGCGGCGCGGCGCCGGGTGTCGGCCAGTCGGGCCGGCCGCCCAGCCGGCTGACAGTCATGTCAGAGCGGCGCTCGTCGGCCGGCGTCAGTGGCGCGTCCTCCAGGCCCAGCAGCACGCCCGAGCCGCCGCCGGCCGACGCCATCGCCGCGGGGAGAACGGCGGGTGGGACGGTGCGGCTTTGACGGTCCGGTGCGGCGGGAGAGCGGTCCGGACGGTGCGGCTTTGACGGTCCGGTGCGGCGGGGAGAGCGGTCCGGACGGTGCGGCTCCGACAGTCCGGTGCGGCGGGGAGAGTGGCAGGTGGGACGGTGCGGCTCTGACGATCCGGTGGAACGGAGAGAGCAGTCCGGACGGTGCTGGCGAGTGTCGAGTGCGACCACCGCAGTTTTCACGGAGTGGTGCGGAGAAAACCAATAACGCCACTGACTGGTGTGTACCAGTCTGACGGCGCTACTACACTGTTACTGTGCTGGCGCCGACGAGACAATGCCGCCGCTCCGGTGTGACAAGCGGCGCTGGTGTCCAGTCTTACAGCACAGGCAGTTCGGCCCAGAGGCTTCCGGAAGAACCACTGGTACTGTTTACTCGCGGAACCTATTGCGCAACACCTTGTCTGTGCCCTCAATTTCCACTTGGTCGTACATCCACTTGCGGTTTACCCTTGAGAAAAAAGGAGAATTAATGGAATCGCGTATTTCAGGGGTGCACACCACCTCAACCACATAGCTTGGAGAAATACGAATATCACCGATAACACTTCGAAAAGAAAGCAAATTCAAACTTCAGCTTATCTAGACGTTCATCAAGGAACTGACCAATGACGTCCGCCAAATAAAATGTTTCAGCTCACTGCAAGTTTATGATGTTCTTTTCATGTCTTTACACTTATTTGATGCTCATAGGCCAACGCCACCGCACCTGACTCCCCAGCCGGGCCTGGACCGACCTGCACTCGTGACCGCACATGGGAGAGCCGCACTTGGCGCAGGGGAAGTGGCAGCCTGGACAGTCGGGCTGCAGACAGTCGCAAACGTCCTGACCACTCATCAGACAGCCGCGGTCATCGTACAGGGCGCGCTTACGCCTGTAACAGGACAAGCGACACGCACGTACAGGCTCGGCTCACGCCAACAACGGGACGAAGCAAAGGTGGTTCCAACACGCAATGCCACGCAAAACGCACGATGTTATCAGCTTGTCTGTGTCTAAAAAAATGCTAGTTTTGGGATGCAGCATTGCAAATTGTCTGACAGACACAGCATTGCCGATGGAGAGGATGCATGTGAAACACACATGCAAACGTGAATCATCATCGGATTCTCGAGACACATATACCTCCAGGTATGCCCCTAGGTATACATGTAAAAGCAGCAGTCAATATATACATGTAGCAAACAGCAGTCCAGTTCCTGGGTTTTAGGGTGTGACGGTCGGGGCATGGAGTGCCCGTTCCAAAGGGGGAGGGGTTTGATATGGGTGGAAGGTTGGGACAGGATGACAGTTGGAATTGGAAAGGAAATGGCAGGAGAGGATGGTAAAGGGACAGGATTTAGCTGTCACAGCTGAAGGCACCCCAATGCAGGCCTGTTGTGTTTTTCACTGCTGGTAAACGAGAAAATGCAGAGCAGAAAAATACCTTGAGATTATGCACAAACTTGGCACATCAAACCTATGATGCACACTGAATGCAATGCACAATGAATGATAACTGGGGCCTTAAGCTTTAACTCTTAGTGTCATGCAGTGCCCATGCATAATGCATCAGCAAATTGGGATTTCTGATCACTAGTGAAACAAAGTCTTTGGAAGCTGCTCTCACCCATCCGTGTAGATCTTCCGCTTTAGCTTGCGACGCTCCCTGTTGCTTCTGTCTGGGTCAAAACCGGCTGTGGAATTGGCTAACACCAGGTCACGCTCCCTCTCTCCAATACTGTTTGACATGCTGATTCCATGCGACCTTGCCACCTGTAAATGTGAAGTGATACATGAACAGAAAATAAAAAATCTGAAGAGCTTGCACCTGCAGGGCTTACTAAGTTACATTCATAAACACTTCATTCAAAAATGTTAAGTGTGTTATCTAGAGACTAAATATTTCAACATGCAACAATGATTCTTTAACCAACTTGTTTAACTGAATGGTCACTTTCAAGGCAATATATATTTTTCCTCACCAGTCAACCAACCTGCCTGTATTTGCATTTTCTTAGGAGTGACTTCCTACCTGGGGTGGGGCAGAGTAGGGTGGGGTTATTTGATGCCACCCTGTCTAGTTCTATAAGGTCTGATTTACTTCTGTTTGATTCCTTCTAGTTACTAGGATTCCATTTTTTAATAGCTCACTAACTGTGTCCCATATTTCATGGAAATCCATTGATATCATAGCATATATCACCTGACTGAGGCAAACACTAGCCAGCCTCAGATAATGGTAATGTGACTTTGGTCACTGCAGGCCGGTTTCCATTATCTAAGCAGGTGGGGGATTCATTCTAGGGTACTTTGTGCCAACAGCTAGTCAAATGCATCATTATCACTTGTTATTAGATAATGCATTCTTTGATACATATCCAAGGGTTTTTAGGCAGAATTATTAAAACAAAAGAGTTGAGAATGCTTTGCAGGCAAGAATACACCTGCATTGCAGATTAGACCAGTCCTGGTAAAAAATAAAACATGACCTGCCCCGATCTAAACAGTTTGCTGATCAACTGTGACAATGGTATGGAGTGAACAATGTCTAAACCCAGCCAACTAATGGAACTGTAACCTAAATATTGCTGCATTTTGCAATTTGCACCATTCTTTCTTTATGGTAACTTTTAAAAGTTGAATAATAACAGATACCATAACCCCATAAATGCTTTGAGGCAATGCAGGCCCTAAACAGTCTTATCTTAATCATGACAGTTTAATTGTATTGTGGTATAGGTGAAGGGGAAGTATCAAAACTAAAGGGATGAGTGAGCCATTTTTATATGCAAGGTTAGAAAATTAGCCTTTCTCATAAGTGTTTCATCCCCACTGGAAGAACACAACTGTCAGAATTCCAGGCCATAGGGATAGCGTACCATTTTAGCATGTGACTTGAGCCTAATGGCTAAAGCCAGCCACAATACCCAACTTGAAGTCTATTACCAAAATGACCTTTTACCATATCACACAACAAGTATGCCTACAATGCTTCTCGGGCAGACCTTGTTGGTAATGCTTAAGCATCTGATGCAGATAATATCCTTACAGAGTAGTAAACCACCAGGCCAGTCTGCAAAAATGCATCCTGGCACTGCACACACACACAACTCCCATGCATTGAATCACATTTTCTATGCACCAAAACTGCCTGGCCAAGCAAAATTGCAGCGTATTTTGAGCATCCTGATGTAAAAAATGTTTTGACAGTATTTTAGCTTGAATAACGTTAAAAAATATCCCAATTCCTTCAAACATTTGCCCAGCTATGCGCCAAAATTGGAGCTCACTACACGCCAAACTCTGGACACTGGGCAACATACAGTGTGCGTATGGTAAAACTGTTGCCGCATCCAGCTGTCACACCAGACGCGTTCGGCTACTGTATTTTTGGCAGTTTGAAGACCATACCTCTGAACTCATACATACCGTGATACATTACAATTGAAAGCGGCCGTATGATTGCAGGGCTACATTAGCTTCAAAAACTTACCTGTCATCGGACCAAGCCACGGTGCCACTCCTCAGCCTCAATCGCCAGGGACGACGCATTCAACAATACGTGTAGAAAGAAAACAACAAAATTGAAAGATCTACTGCTGCGGTGCGCACGCCGCGCAGGTCCGGCTTTGCCCATAATACGGTTAAAGTCGGTTGCGTTCGTTGTCAGTAGAACAACGTAATGCCAAGTTAGAGATGCCAACTTAATAAAGAAATTAACTATCCGGTATATCTCCGTTTATAGATCGCGAATTTCCCATGAGAATACAAGCAATAAAATATCAAGTCCAAATTGATTGAAAGCTCATTCACACTAGTGATATATTTCCTCCCTGCTTGCTGAAATACTCTAAATATCTTAGTGGATACCGCCAAAGTTTTTTTGAGACCACCAACTTCTACCGCCTTCCAGACAGCTGCGGTTCATCACATCTGTCAAGAGCGGAGTGATGGGCAGTGTGGCCAATGCTTGTAGGATGGTGGGTGCATTTTAATTTTCACGGAGCACTAATGCTGAAGTCACAGGTGAGCTCTTTGGAGTGGCAGGCAAGTGATCAGTGACACGACTGAAACTCTTTTTGCATATCATCTTGAGTAACGAACGTCGTATGGGCAGATTGTTGTTGAATGTCGATGTGTATTGGGACCCATATGTTGCCTTCCTTCCAACGTGCTGCTATTGACCAACTGGCCGCATCTTGTGGTGTGCTTCATTAAAGATATAAGTAAGTGCACATCTCACTTTGGGTGCACTACTTATCGGTAAACATCAGTAATGGCTGTCAGTGTTCAAGTCTTTCGCGCAGGATGGTCCCGGCACGGGTCGTTGGCTGCGACGTGGCAGACTGTGAAATTTGTGGTCGCGGATTGACCGGCGGTTCCTCATTGCCCCAGGGGCTCAGGGGGCTCCAATCGGCACAAGAGGTCCTCTGATGGACATTTGCGGGCCAGGATCCCCTGAAATTGCGTCGGGCCAACTCTCTGAGCCCCCTCGTTGGACCCTTGATCGCCGGTCCCAAAAAGTCCTGAGCACTCATGGCGTGTCCTGCCCCCCCCCCCCCCTCCCGGCCTGCGCACCCCCTCAACTTATGATGGGCCCATCTCAGGTCTGAAAAGAGCCTATTTCTAGATAAAAAGCATGCCTGTAAATTAAATGATAGGGGCCTAAGGGACTATGTGTATGTCAGACACCAGTAACTCACAGTTGGCTACATAGCCACATAGGCCTAAGGGCCCATTTCCCAAGCAGGGACAAAGCTGAAGCAGGTGATTTACATTGGTCAGATCCTATAGTGCCGAATGGGCATCCTGTGCTGGCAGAAGGCCAGAGTTGGTTAGAGGCAGTGCTCGAGGAGGCCCAAAATGCCTGGAAAACATACCCAGTCTGATGATGAAGGGCTTAATAGGAGGTGTGAGAGCACAAAGGGCTGGTCAGAGTTTTATTCAGGGCTTTGGTCTGCAAGGTCAGACCTTCAGATGACTGCCAGAGGGCTCTTTGCACTAATCATGGACACCCTGAATCAATATGGGTCTATATGTCAGTCAGACACCACCTGTACCACACAGTCCACCCCGTATCAGTATGGGCCCTCAGACACATTTCCCCATCAGCTACAAAGTGGCAAGTGATTTTTACTGGTCCCTGCTGGAGTGCCTGACAATGGGTCCCGTGCTTGCAGGGGGCCACAGAGTGACCAAGGGCAGTGCTCAATGAGGCCCAAAGAGGGACCTGGGTGGCCCAGCAGAACAAACTGTCAAAGGCCCTGCTGGAGGGTATAAGAGCCTGAAGGATTGGCTGTAGGTCACATATAAAATTGCAGCCCATAGGGTTGTGACCTGACATATCAGCAAGAGGTCCTCTCATACCTTTTGAAGAACCCTGAGACAGCGCGGGTGCCTAACTCGGCCAGCGACCGCCAACACCAAGCAGTTGGCTGTCTGCCAGGCTGCACCCTGGGTGCCCATTGTTCAAACAGGAACAAGACTGGGTCGCGACTCCCATTGATCTGGGTCCCTGAAACAGTGATAAGGGCCCATTTCTCGGTAGGGGGCTTACAGTGCATAACAGAGGATCATGTCCGGGCTAGTGGCCCGTAGTCTGTCGCGGACTTTGAGGAGGTCCGAAGAGGGGTCGGAGTGCCCTCGCAATCAAGGATCAAGGGCCCGATTAGACTCGGACATCCACCCTCACCTGTAGTGTCAAGACCTGAAATATCAGTCAGGGAGCTTTAATTAGGCCACTGTTTGTTAGGATTTTCTATCTCTATCATAAAGGGCTTTGACACGGAGCCAAACAGTTGGCTCCATATCTGTCTGGGCCCTTAAGACCCATTTCCAAGCTGGAACGAGGCCGGGGCCCGCGATTTGCAGTGTTCGGGGTCCCTGATACAATGGGGGCGCTGTTGTCGGTCAAGGGCCACAGTGACAGACAGGGATCGTGTGACGGCAATTGACTGGAGTCGGCCGGAAGCGGTGGATGGAGGGGCCCGAAAAGAGGCCGAAGGCTCTCTTGAGACCAAAGATCGGGGCTTGTTTGTAAGGCTAAATGGCCCAAAAGGCTTACTTTAGG